AAAATAATTATAATTAAATTTATTATTAAAAATAATAATAATGCATAAAAATAATTATAATTAAATATATATATATTATGTATATATATTACTAAAAATAAAAATAATAATAATGCATTATTATTTTTAATAAGTATTTTAAAATAATAATAATGCATTATTATGTATATATAATTATAATTATTTTTATTTTAATATATATGCATTAGTAATAATATATATGCATTAGTAATATATATACTAAAAATAAATTTAATTATTAAAATAATAATACATTATTATTATTTTAAAATACTAATATATTTACATAATATATATATTTCATTATAATTATTTTTAATAATAAATTTAATTATAATTATTTTTGTTGTAATATATATGCATTAGTAATGATATATATATATATATATTGTAGTTATGTGTATATGTGTTTTATTAATTATAAATAATTTTATTTTTAATATATATATATATATATTTGTATATATATGTGAATTTATATTCATATATTAATTTAAATATATATAGATGAATATTTGGACATTTAATAATATTTTTGAATGATGAGTCAGCAGTTTTTTGCTGAGTCAGCAGTTTTTTTGCAGAGTCAGTTGTTGCGTTTGTTTGATTTGGAAAAAATTTAAAAGTCTGGGTATTACGCGTCGTGGTGGAGTTCAGGTATTTATATGACAATTTTATAGTTCGGATATTTATTTGAGATTTTTGTAAAAGTTCGGGTATTTTTATATGATTTACCCTTATAATTATTTTTATTTTAATATGTATATTATGTATGTATATAAATTTAATTATAATTATTTTTATTTTAATATATATGCATTAGTAATGATATATATATATATATTGTAATTATGTGTATATGTGTTTTATTAATTATAAATAATTTTATTTTTAATATATATATATATATATATATATATATTTGTATATATATGTGAATTTATATGTATATATTAATTTAAATATATGTAGATAAAAATTTGGATATTTAATAATATTTTTTTTTGAGTCACCATTTTTTTCTGAGTCAGCAGATTTTTTTGCTGAGTCAGCAGTTACGTTTAACGACGTTAACGGATGAGTGTTTGATTTAGAAAAAATTTAAAAATCTAGGTATTTATGTGAGAATTATGAAAAATTCAGGTATTTATATGACAATTTTATAGTTCGGATATTTATATGGGATTTTTGTAAAAGATCGGGTATTTTAATGCGATTATCCCTATTTCAATTTATATATAATTAATTTGAGAAAAGTTATATGTGGCTAATTTTAAATTAAACTTAAGTTGTTGTTACATTATTCCGTTCTGTATTGAAATTTAGATTTATCAGTTTTCAGGATTATGTATTTTATATTTTTAAAAATCTGAAGGACAAATGGGAACATGGAAAAAGACGCGAGGAGATGATATGATATGGTCAGTGACTCAGTGATACTCCCCCAAAATCCCACCGGCAAATTTCCACTAATCTGAACCGTTGATCATAAACAGAATACACCATAAATTATCAACGGCCCCAATTTCTCCGCGTCAAGTCTCTATACTAAGCTCGTCCGCATCTGAACATTACCCCTCCCCCCACCCATAGAATCTCACTGGATCGGAGCAAGAGAGAGAGAGATTTCCACCATTTCCTTGACGAGAGACTGCATGAAATTCACAAAGGCTTAGACAGATCCGTGAAGAGTGTCGCGGCAATATGGCAAATTTCCACCGGCTGTCACGCGGCGTTGGATCTCCGGAGACCTGCGGCGGCGGCGGTACTATCAGACGGTTAGCTTTCGTTACCTCGGTGGCGGTTCTCTTCTTCTTCGGCATCTCGTTTCTCTTTGCTTCTGAGTACGATTCGACTGATCTCCATGGCTCCGTGAGTTCTCTCTGTTTAGACCTCGCCATCTTTTTTTATTTCCTTAGATTTTATCGGGAAACAAACTGAGATCTAATGGCGGTGATTTGGAGGAAACGAATGGAAATTTAGACTTTTAGGTTTAAGATTGAATGTAGTTTTTGTACTCCAGCTCTTGCCAATTATATTTGCATTAATGAAATTTGTTTCGGCTCTCAATGCAATATGACCGTTTCAGTGGAAACTTAACGGAAATTTTTCTTAGATTCTGCTTAATATCGGAATTAATGTCACTTTTCGAGGAATATGTATTCATTGAAGTTATAATGTGTGGATTAGGGCGTCGATTCAAATGCATATGGATTCGGATCCACCAGGAGATCCATATTGGATGTGAAGTCGGATCCACTCAAGCCACGGTTGATCCAGATCAGGAAACAAGCCGACGACCACCGATCTTTGGCACTGGCTTACGCTTCTTATGCACGCAAGCTTAAGCTCGAGAACTCTAAGCTTGTTAGAGTTTTCGCGGATCTTTCGAGAAATTACACGGATCTGATTAACAAGCCATCTTATCGTGCTCTATATGAGTCCGATGGGGCCTCGATTGATGAGACGGTGCTTCGGCAGTTTGAGAAGGAAGTGAAGGAGCGGATTAAAATGACCCGGCAAGTGATTGGTGAAGCGAAAGAGTCATTTGATAACCAGCTCAAGATACAGAAGCTAAAAGACACGATTTTTGCAGTTAACGAGCAGTTAACAAAGGCTAAGAAGCAAGGGGCCTTCTCCAGCTTGATTGCCGCAAAATCGATACCGAAGAGCTTGCATTGCCTTGCGATGAGGCTGATGGAAGAAAGGATCGCTCACCCAGAGAAGTATACGGATGAAGGGAAGCCTAAACCCTCAGAATTGGAGGATCCTAATCTTTACCATTATGCTATATTCTCGGACAATGTGATTGCGGCATCTGTAGTGGTGAACTCTGCTGTGAAGAATGCCAAGGAGCCATGGAAGCACGTGTTCCATGTCGTGACGGATAAGATGAATCTCGGGGCGATGCAGGTTATGTTCAAATTGAAGGACTATAACGGGGCACACATAGAGGTGAAAGCTGTCGAGGACTACAAATTTCTCAACTCTTCGTACGTACCCGTGTTGAGGCAATTGGAATCTGCGAACCTTCAAAGGTTCTATTTCGAGAATAAGCTTGAGAACGCGACCAAGGATACCACGAATATGAAGTTCAGGAACCCCAAGTATTTGTCTATACTGAATCACTTGAGATTTTATTTACCCGAGATGTACCCGAAACTGCACAGGATACTCTTCTTGGACGACGATGTGGTTGTGCAGAAGGACTTGACGGGGCTGTGGGAAATCGATATGGACGGAAAGGTGAATGGAGCTGTAGAGACGTGTTTTGGGTCGTTCCATCGGTACGCTCAATACATGAATTTCTCGCACCCATTGATTAAAGAGAAGTTTAACCCTAAAGCCTGTGCCTGGGCATATGGAATGAACTTCTTCGATTTGGATGCTTGGAGGAGGGAGAAGTGCACAGAAGAGTATCACTACTGGCAAAATCTGGTAAGATTTTTCTACTTGGTTTTACGTTTTTGGACGATAGGATGTAGCTAATAAGGTTTAGGCCCTAACTCCACCACAAAAGCTAGCTTATTGGGGGAGGGTGCCCATGGTATTATATTGACTCAATTGTTCCCACATATTTCCGATGTGGGATTCTAACAATACCGCCCCCTTTAGACAGCGACGACCACGGCGCTGGCGGCTTCTCGGGCGCTGGCGGGCGCGCACCCTTTGTGTTCCTCTCCCGACCGTACGCACCCTTTGTGCTCCTCTCCCGACCGTTCCTCTCCCGCCGCGTCGTCTGCATGTCCGAGGATCGGTTGGCTCTGATACCAATTAATAAGGTTTAGGTCCTAACTCCACCACAAAAGCTAGCTTATTGGGGGAGGGTGCCCATGGTATTATATTGACTCAATTGTTCCCACATATTTCCGATGTGGGATTCTAACAGTAGCTTTTTAGGTTTTACTATCTAGATTTAGGTGTAGGCAATGGGTATACCCTGAGATTACCTGGTCTCGGCCTCGTGAGAGTTGGGTTCCCGACTTTCGGGTAACCGCGGGGCTCTTGTATCCAGTTGGCGAGGAAAGTGCGACTGTGAAGTGGAGTGAATCGATGTGGCAGAGAGAGGAAAGAGAGAATGATCATGCGGGGTGAGGAAAGAGAGAAGAGCGACTGAGAGAGGAAAGAGAAACGTACCTGTACCCGATGGCCAAGGAGTGAGCGACAGAGGGCCGGAGGCTATGTGATGCAGGCGACGGACGAGCGACGAAGCGAGGTAAGGACCAGACTCGGAAGTAGAATTTCTGATACCTTAATCCAAGATTGGGGATTTATAAACAAAAATCTCCAATCTAAACACAAAGCCTTTAACCTCGCGCTCGTGGCTTGATGTCTCGTGGCCTCGTTTGCTTCCTCTTGACCTCCATTCTTTTGGCCGGGTACCCGTAGAACTCGGGTAATCTCCGGTTGAAACACAGATTCAAATCCAAACGTCGGGTATTCGCCCCGCTGGTGGATGTGGGCGAGTATCCAAAGTTACTGGTGCCCGAATCGTGGGTCGTGTGGTATTTGAGAACCCGTGCCCACCCCCTACTAGACTTTTTGTTTCATAAAAAACGAATTTCATAAATGAACACAGCACATACAGCTGACACCTGAGTGAATTGTAAATGGCAGAACGAGAACAGGACGTTGTGGAAGTTGGGGACGCTGCCGCCGGGGCTAATAACGTATTACTCGACGACGAAGCCGCTGGACAAGTCATGGCATGTGCTTGGGTTGGGTTACAACCCCAGCATCAGCATGGACGAGATCCGGAACGCTGCTGTCGTTCACTTCAACGGCAACTTGAAGCCTTGGCTTGACATCGCTATGAACCAGTTCCGTCCCCTCTGGACCAAACACGTCGACTACGACCTCGATTTCGTCCAGGCCTGCAACTTCGGTACCTGAAATCTTTCTTTACTTATTATTATTATTGGTTTATCATTTGAGCTCCAGAGGCATATATATATATATATATTGTGCGTAGAGGTAGTCATATTTTTAATTTGGCTGGTATTACCACGTCGGGATGTAAGCCCTTGGGTCTCCACCGGAACACAAGTGTGTTTAGATTTACTGGTCTTTTCTTTTCTTTTTTCGGTTACTTCCGTTTCAGTTAAAGCAGCAACTACTACCAAAAAAAGGACATGATTTTGGATTACTCAGCTCAGCGGGGTGAATTTAAGATTGTACAGGTAACTTGGAGGTGATGTGAGAGAGATTTGGACAAGTGTAAAATGGGTTCATCCGTCTCGATCCAACCACCACCCGTTTTGATCCAATCCAAATCAAAAATTGATCAGTCCAATCCAGTTTCAAACGCTCGCTAACCAAAATTTTAATTTTTAAAAATAAAATTTAAATATTATAAATATAATTAAAAATTAAAAATTTTAAACAAAATAAAGATTATAATTTTTATATAAAATATTTAAAAATATATATATAAAAAAAGATTACATCATGATAATCTCTTGAAATTCATGATATATATTAACTTTACTGCAGGTTTTTTGGGGGGTTTATTTAGGAAAATGAGATCATTTTTTAGTATGAACACCATCATGTATAAACACCCAAGTCAAACATAATAATTCAACGACCAACATTTTAAATACATCTGGCGAAAGGAAAATAGCCAGTCTTACATTCCAAAATCTAAGATTCAAAAAAGGGAATAAGGCTTAACCCTAAAACCACGAGCTCCAAATCAATCACGAATTAAACCAACCAAAAAAAAAAACGCCGCCAAGTCCCTCACGTCTCACCCCCACAAAATAACAAAAAAGGCGAAACTGATAGAACCAAAAAAAAAAAAAAGACAACAATATGAAGACTCGAGGGAATATTAAGATCTAAACTCTCTCTAAAACAATCAATCTATCTCTCCCCCCACCACCGGAAATAATCTTTAAAAGACTTACCAAAACCTCATGCCCTTTTTAC